AGAAGAAGGAGAAGAAGAGGAAGAAGAATTGATTTCCTATAATCTGGGAGGCTGGGAAGGCCAAGATCAAAGTGCACACAGAATTTGGGGAGAGTACAGTCCAGTCTGTAGCAGAAATCACCTGGGATTCTGAATCTCAGTTCATGCATGTGTCCCTGGGTGAGCAGGTGGAGGAGGGGAAGGCTTCCACAGGTCTGTGTGCTTGTGGTGTGAGAGTGCAGGAAGCCTTGAGCTCCCTAAAGTAGTCAACACAGTTTTTCACATGTGTACATGTACAGCAGGCCATTCTACCTACACACAAGCATGGATGCCCATAGGCACATGCTCCTTTGCAGTCAGTATCACAAGTTCTATACACACACACACACACACACACACACACACACAATCTAATCATGCATGCACAAAAAACTTGTAAGCATGTGAATGTACATTCACACAATCCCACATAGCTGTCCTGTGTACACATACTCAGTCACATCTGAAATTGCAGAGTATACCCAGAAAAATCATACATGTGGTATGCACATCCAAGCCGTACACACACAGACACATGGCTCAAAGACTGCAGGCCCATCTTTACCAGATGTTTGCACCATGCACAGCTTGGATGTGAGAGGATGCACTTCTGGCAGGAGGGAGCTGGCTGGCAGGAGCCCGGCAGGGACGGGTCAGAATCTCCCCATTCTGTGGCCTCTGTTGGGGATGAGATCTTGGCATCCAGGTCACTCTCACCTCTGCCCAACACCAGCAGGAAAACAAGAGGCACTGACAAAACTACCATGGCCTGTATAAGGGTATAAAGAGGCACTTGGGTCCTTGGGACTTCTCAATTCTGTCATCCAAACTGCACTGTGGTTGCCACTCCCAAATCTTTGTCATTCCTCATGTTGATACCTCCCGTGGATTAGCAGTTTCTTCAAAATGGCAGGAAGGGGTTGAACCAGGCGAGGATAGCAGCCTTCAAGAAAACCTGTCCTTCCTGTGTGTGCAGACTTCATATGGGCAGAGTGGCCCCTAAGAGTCTGAGGACTGGGCCTGGAGGTGCCCACCACTGCACACAGACCTCCCCACCACAACTGCACAGCAGTAGAAGTAGAACCAAACAAAACCCCGGATCTGTCCCTCTCTCCCAGCCCAGGTACTCACTGGAAGTGTGGCACGTCAGGCTTTCTCTCTGGGCCTCAGTCTCCACATCTGTAAAGTGAGACAGTTGCATAAACAATCTGACTGACTGACAGCCCTCACAGCTTGCACAGTGTTAGATTCTTACTAGGAAAAGCAGGTCAATAAGTAGGAAGGCAAAGAAAAAAGGCGGGAGCAAAAAAATAAATTAAAAAAAAGAAAAAAAAGGCGGGAGCAGATGGAGTGTGTGAGAGTCAGGGAATGGTAGCTCTATTTGGTTGATGAGGAATGAAGATTTGATCAGGAGAAGAAGTTCCTTTTTTTGTTTGTTTAGCAGCCCATGGCCTTCACACCTGAGCTACCTCTCCATCCCTTTTTATTTTTAGACAGTCTCATTAAGTCACTAAGTTGCCTACACTGGGCTGGGTTCAAACTTTCTCTCTCTCTCTCTCTCTCTCTCTCTCTCTCTCTCTCTCTCTCTCTCTCTCT